CTTGGAAGGGCATTGTATTTTTCTGGCTTTAGTAATTGTATGATCAAAATGTAAAGTGCTTCTTAAACTAATGAGCCTGGATCTTAAAAACTATCATCATTTTCTTTAAAATAATAATTTTATATGCTAACATTGAAGTTGTTACTATGTGTTAGAATTATTAACAAACAAGGTAGGTAACAAGTATTATTGAAATGGGTTTGCATTTTATCCTGCCATTATCAAAGTTATTTCCTGCTTGTTTTGATCATTGCTCCTGTATCATTCTCTAGACTGAATTTGAAATGATTAAGTGAAAGAAATGTGATTAATACACAGAACACTGTAGTGAAACACTTTGTGAAAATTATCACACTGAAATCCTCTCTTTGAAATTTCATTACTAGAGACTGATTACTGATTATCTCACAAACTCAATTTCATCTATTTTGTCTACTGGATGCACCTATTTATTTTTGTTTCCTTCTTTGTAATTGTAATTAATGCACATAATTGTACATTTGGATTTTTTCATACATACACACCTGTGTCATACTCAATCCATAAGTAAACTTATCTCCTCAAATATCTATGAGTCCTTTATTTTGAAAACTTTCAAATAATTTTATTTCTTTTTAAACTACAATAATTTTGTTTTCTAGAATATCCCTCTTTTCAATGGTGAACTATTAACTACATATAATTGACTACATACAATTAACTAGGACTAGTACAAATTAATTAAACTCACCCATCTGTCCACTTTCTAGTCTCCACAGTTCTATTAACCACCAAAAAAAAAAAAAAAACCCACTTTCTGGGCTGGCTGAAAATGTTGCTCAGTTATAGAGTGCTTGCCTACCAAGTGCAAGGCCCCAGATTCAATCTCCAGCAGAGCAAATTAATTAGTTAATTAATTAATTAATTAAGAGACTTAAATTGAGGAAGACTATATACATATATCTCTATATATTTATAGGCCTCAAATATTTACTTTAATATTTTGGTGAAATGTTATAAAAGATGGTAAATTTAATGTATATTTAATTTTTTTTTCTCTGAGTCACAGAAAATCCTTTGGATATCCCAATTTCATGCCCTCCATTGCTACTTTCACAAATTTGTCTATACATTTTTGAAGTTGAAATCTGGTTACTGTCCACAATTAACCAGTCTCTGCATATGATTAGAGATGTGTCTCCCCTTTGCAGTGAGTTATTCTCATTTAGCTTTGAAATGACTTAACACATGAGGTGGAGGTTATCTAGCACTTCCCCAAAACAATGAGAAAAAAATGCCACTTTCACAACATAAACAAAACTACAAAAAACCCTGCTCACCCTCACTCCCATCTCTATCACATGCACAGGAACCAAAACATACATGTAAGACATCCTCAATCCATAGCTGAAGGTCTGTATTTGGTCTGGGAACCAGTCTTACACCTTTGGGACTAGTCCAATGAAGCAGTCAATGTGACTTCCATGCAATTTGTCCAATAGGTAAGCAAATCAAATTTTCTAAAGCAATTATGCAATCCAATGCACATAAAATGTGTAGGCAATTGTGAGAGACTCATTATTTAGGACCAGAGATAGGGACAGAACATAGGAAATGCAAACAATCACATTCCAGGATAATCCCACACATGAATGCACTCCCACACATAAAAAAAAAAAAAAAAGACTTAATGGAACAAAATAGGTCAGCAAAGTATAGCACAGTGAGCACTGATATAAAATCATCTCAGAGATGAGTTTGTGTTGCTGCTTTTTTAAAACAATAAATGTGTAAATCAAGTGAGCGCATTCCAGTCAGACTTGGATTCAGGAGCATAGATGAATGTGTGCACACTTCTCCCTATTGAGCTTTCCCTGACAAAAAGGACAATTAGATTTCCTTTTCTCAACACTATAAAATCTGAATAAAATTTATAAATTACAACTTTAAAAAATTCTAAGTAAATACAAATACGTGATCAATAAATAATTTTCCATAATATATAACAGAGAGTTTACTATTATTTTTAATAATAAAATTACCAAGAAATACAGAAATTCAAAGCTGAACTGGAGTTTGGAAATCCTCAACATATAAAACAAAACATATAAAAATTAACTTTATTCATTTCTGAGAACAATTTTAAAACTCAGACAAAAATATTTGTTTGAAGAATAAAATTAATTTTGGACTGATAAAAGCAGAAAATACTTTTGAGATCCCTCTCAAAAAAAGACAAGGCCACTGAACAATGCAATCTTTGCTACATTTAATGTAAATTGAGATATTGAGTTTTTGTGTTCAAGTGAATGTTAAAATTAAATTTAATATCTATTCTCATGTAGACTAAGAAGTATAATATCAATAACAATGAAAAAAATACTAAAATTTTCCATATGGGTACATTCATCTATTCTAAAAAAAAATTGCTTAACTATAATCTTAGAACACCAGGAAGTGATAGTTTTTGTTCCCTCAGGGTCCAGGAAATTCAGAACATTCATCATCACTGATTATTCATGATAACACAAAAACCTAACACAATGAAATGATTTGTACTTTGGTTAAATCTTTCCCACAGATGAAGCATGAAGAGAAAGAAGCAGATGACAATGTCTCCATAGTGGTGCAGTTTGTTCTGCTAGGATTTTCTGAAATTTCAAACCTCCAAGGCTTTCTACCTGGGGTGTTCTCCATCATTTACGTGGCTATCCTCATTGGGAACAGTCTCATAGTCATAATAACAAGGCTGGACCCTGCGCTGCACAAACCCATGTATTTTTTCCTGGCACATTTTTCTATACTGGAAATCTGTTATGTTTCAATCACTCTCCCGAGGATTCTGGTCAGCCTTTGGACCAAGGATAGAAGGATCTCCCTACTGAGCTGTGCCACCCAATTGTGCTTCTTCCTTGTACTGGGAACTGCGGAAAGTTTCCTCCTGGCTGTGATGTCCTATGACCGCTATCTGGCCATCTGCAACCCTCTGCACTATCCTCTAATCATGAACCCAAAGAAGTGCCATCTACTGGCAGCTGGCTCCTGGCTTGGGGGAATGCCAGTCCAGATAGGACAAACATGCCAGATATTCTCTCCGCATTTCTGTCATACTAACCAAATCAACCACTTCTTCTGTGACATACCCCCCATTCTCAAGCTAGCCTGTGGGGACACCTCAGTGCATGAGGCCTCTGTCTATGTAGTAGTGATATTGGTTGGGGCAGTACCTTTCATGTTGATACTTGTCTCCTATACCAAGATCATTGCCACCATTCTGAGGTTGCCAACAGCCCAAGGTCGCA